ACCCCACACACAAACTAAGATCATGAAATTCCTATTTTTAAGTTCAAGTAAACAGCCTTGGAAAAAAAAAGTGGAAAACCCTACCATATTTACAATAAATACGATACTTAAATTCAGTAGAATATGAGCTTTTTTTAAAAGAAATCTTCTTACATTCATTTATCTTCTTATCTTATCTGCATGCTTACTTCAAAATCAAATCTCTCACATACACTAAAACAAAAATTATCACTAAATCATTTAAGTCACAATAAAATATATTATTTTTTAGATTATGCATATAGAAGGATTGCCATTCCAATTTCAGCCTCATTTTCATTTATATATATAAGTTTTCTTTCTTTTATATTTGTTTAGCTCTGAGTATTCTTTTTTATATTGAATCTGGATAGTTGCTCAGGTTTGGTGAAAAGTGTTAAACTAGGATTTCCTTGTTCTTTAGGATTTCCTTGTTCTTCCGAGAATAGGACCATGGAAGCACATGCTACCAAATAGAGTCTGGATATAAAATGATAAAACTCCATGACAATTAATTCTGACATGTTTGGACTAATCATCTGGAGAAACACTGCTCCAGTTTACTTTAACATTTAAGCTAACACCAAAGCTAGATCCACGGGCTTTCCTTGGCACCTGGTGTTCTCACGTCCAAATGAATCATGACAATGTCAAAACTCAGATGAAAATAGGCTTGCCATAAAAGAAAAGAGAAAATAGGCTTAAACAAATTTCTAAAATCAAGTCAACAAATTACAATAGAGATGCTAATTTTTTTCACTCTTGATTGCAAAACTATCGTAACATAATATAGATTTAATTAAAACTATTGTTTTATTAGTACAATTCAAATTGTACTTTTTTTATGTGTCGAATCAGAAAACAAATTTTTAATTAATTTTTTGGTAAAGAAACGGTTTTTTTTATTATTATTATTATTACAACATGCTTTTATTTCTACCATATATAATAAAAAAGGTATCCTATGTACAACAGGATAATTCTAGATAGGATATTGATAATTATATTTATAGTAGCCAAACTTAACCACAAGCCGACCTTAGCTCAGTTGGTAGAGCGGAGGACTGTAGTCGGGTCAATCCCACAGCTAATCCTTAGGTCGCTGGTTCGAATCCGGCAGGTCGGAACCTCGTCTTTTTTTGTTTGTGCATAGCAGTTTCTCCGATCACCTTCCGATTTCCTTTTCGTCGGAAACAACCTTTTTAAGTTTATCAATACACC